CTGCTCCTCCCAGGCCGACAGCTCTTGCACGGCTGTCAACTCATCGTGCAAAATTTGCTCAACTTGGTCGTGTCCCATGCTTGGCTGGTCTGTCAAAGGGCGGTCAGAAAAGACGCACGACTAAGTACCCCACGAGAGTCGAGGTGACCAACTCATCTGGGCCACCGACAGCTGCAAAGTCCAGCTCGTCGAGCTTTTGTCTCAAGCTACACCAAGTTTTCTCCATGCGGTCAGCATCACTGACGCTCTCTGGCGGCTCGTGCAAAGCTCGTACTTGCGAGGCCAGCTGCAAAGACAAAGTGCTGGAAATCCACATCGCAAAGAGCCACTTTTCGATCTGGGGCCAGATCTGCTGCTGCACTTCCTGCACCTCCAAGCCCTCAGGCTCTGCTCCCTCTTCAGTGTTGGAGTACTGCTCCAAGTTTGCACGGTTCACGAAGCCGCAGTATCCTTCGGGAGTCAGGCCACCCGGGCGCAACGCCGCGGAGCCTCCATCTTCGACTGGCCGGCACAGTCGGTTCAGGGCACGCTCGAGACGCCGGCGCGAGACCAGAAAAGGTACTCGCTGCTTCCTGTGCACATCCTTGCTGCAGCGGCGTATCAGGAGCATTTTCATGTCTCCAACAGCAGCAGGAATGTCTCGCACGAACTGCGGGCCGTTTTGAAAAAGGTTGCCCACGTGGCCTCGCAGCTCACACTGGCCCGTGCCGTACAGCGTAAAGATCCGCACCAAGTGCTGGATCGGGGACAGGATCTCTTCCTCGAAGAAAGTCAGGGCATCGATCTCCGGGAGAGTCTCTCCCGGATCTGCGTGGTTGGCCGCCGTCAAGCGGAACGGCTCCTTGGGCAACATCGCCTTGGCACGTTCCTTGGCGTCGTGCAAGCAGTTCTCACAGATTGGCTTGCCGGCTTCCAGCCAATCGGCCTCAGGTGCCCGACAGAAGTTGGTCTTCTGAAACGCTTGGGTCTCGAAGCCTCCGGGCAGGCCACTCTTGCCTTTGCCTGCAGCAATGCCGAACCAGCCTTCCTTGCAGTAATGGCAGTCCTGAAACTCCATGCTCAGCATGTAGGAGTCCACCTCATGCACACGGTGGAAAAACGGCAATATGCGGGCTTCGGCGTCCAGGTGCCCCCCCCCCCCCCCCCCCCCCCCCCCCCCCCCTTTTATTATTTTTTTTTATGTTTTTGCCGTACAAAAGCCGTAAGCTCTTTGGGCAGCCGAGGCCCGTCAAAGTGGTCCCCTCCTAAAACTGTCCCCTCCACAGGCGTGCAGCTGTTGGCTCATGCCAAGCCAATAATGGCAATGTGTTCCCACCCCCCCACCTAAACTTTTCGAAGAGAAGGCGGCTTTGCAAGCGCCCTGCAACACGCCTCTTGGTCCCACCAAGGACAGATGGAAACAAATACTGCGGAAAGGAAAAAAAAAACCCGAAAAAAATAAAAAAAAAATTTTCAAAAAAAAAATCGCCGAAGCGAAAATCATCATCGGCTTTCTTGCCATGGCCGCTGAACAGCTCCTCGGCACAAGTAGCTCGCAGTGCCTGCAGCTCGGCCTTTCTTTGCTGAAGCATAGTCAAAAACTTTTCGACCAGAGCGGTTTCGGAGACACACAAGTCACGCTCCCAGCCTTGCACGAGTGCTTCTTGCTCCGGCGACAGATGCTGTCTGTATCTTTTAAGAAACATAGCACAAAAGGAAGAGCTTACATCAGCTCCCTGGTCAAGGCTTTGCAATGCCTTCACCAGGGAGCTCTTTTCTTGAGCTCGCAGCACGGCAGAGTAAGCTTGGACAAAAGCACTCAGCCTTGCAAAGCTTCGTTGAAGGCCGGCCAGAAAAGGCGCAGCCTCCAACTTGGACTTGTCACAAAGCACAAACTCCCAGTCTTCTAAATGCTCTTTCTGGTCGGCATTCAACAATGCCACGTGCCTGTCGAAGAAATTCTTAGCTTGCTTCCAACGTGTGTCGGAATTCGCGCGGTTGCTGCTGACAACAGCTGACAAGCTTTGCTTCTGTAGCTGAGCAATTTCAACAGCATTCTGAGCGAAGAAGGCTTGCACTTCGACAAAGGCAGGAGCACGACGCGATGCTGCAGCTTCTTTTGCCGCAGCACTCACTTGACACAACTCAGCTTCCTTTGCAAGCAAAAAAACCTTTTCCGCAGACGCCAAGCGGTCGCTATAGCGCAGCAGGAAAACACGGCAAAAGCTCGACATTTGAAATTCCTGCATGTGTCGACTCTGCAAAGCTGCCAGCAAGCTTGGCTTGCTTGAGTATCTTATCGCCTCTGCCGTCTCTGTCAAAAATGCCTCCACGCGGCAAAAACAGCATTGAAGGCCGGCCAGAAAAGGCGCAGCCTCCAACGTGGACTTGTCACAAAGCACAAACTCCCAGTCTTCCAAAATCTGCTGCTGAGCTGGCTCCAAGCTTGAAAGTTTTCGTCTGCAGAAATTTCTGGCTCGCTCCCACTCTGGTACCGGACTGCGCCGCTTGCTGTTGAGCAAAGCTGTAAGCGTCGGCTTCTTCATTTGCACAAGCTCCTGCGAGTAGGCTGCCAAAAACGCCACCGTCTTATCACATGCGTCTGCCATGGCGTCCGGAGCGGTCAGAAAAGGAAAAAAAAAAAAAAAAAAATAAAAAAAAAAAAAAAAAAAAAAAAAAAAAAAAAAAAAAAAAAAAAAAAAAAAAAAAAAAAAAAAAAAAAAAAAACAGAAAAAAAAAACAAAAAAAAAAAAAAATAACAATAAAAAAAATAAAAACAAAAAAAAAAAAACAAAAAAAAAAAAAAAAAACAAAAAAAAAAAAAAAAAAAAAAAAAGAAAAAAAGAAAAAGAAAAAAAAGAAAAAAAAAAAAGACGCGCTCCACCGTGCGGGATACACAAGGAAACGATGTCACTGGCATGAAGGCCGGCCAGAAAAGGCGCAGCCTCCAACGTGGACTTGTCACAAAGCACAAACTCCCAGTCTTCCAAAATCTGCTGCTGAGCTGGCTCCAAGCTTGAAAGTTTTTGTCTGCAGAAATTTCTGGCTCGCTCCCACTCTGGTACCTGACTGCGCCGCTTGCTGTTGAGCAAAGCTGTAAGCGTCGGCTTCTTCATTTGCACAAGCTCCTGCGAGTAGGCTGCCAAAAACGCCACCGTCTTATCAAAGGCGTCTGCCATGGCGTCCGGAGCGGTCAGAAAAGACGCGCTCCACCGTGCGGGATACACAAGGAAACGATGTCACTGGCATGTGTCTGTGGAAGTATATGCGTTCTGTGGGAACACAAACTAAAAAAAAATCATCAAGAGGTTGTCCGCCTGAGCGTGATGCTGGTAGGTCGGCTGGTGACAAACAACAAACTAGAACATTAACATGTTCTCGGCCTGTGTGTGGTGCTGGTGGGTGTGCTGGTGAAAGTGTAGTGGTGGTAGTGGTGGTGGTGATGTGAGTTGCCGCTCCGCGATTGAAGCCGGGACATGAACAAACATGAACAGTGGTGGTGGTGATGCTAGGATGCTGGTGACGAAAACCGGGACATTGAACAAACATGACATACGCGGAGCAACTGACAAGACAGAGCCGAAACGCCACACGGTCACAGCGACATTACCTCCCTATCTATCTATCTATCTGTCTATCTACCTATCTATCTGCCTGTCTACCTCTCTATCTATCTGTCTACTTGTCTCTCTATCTTTCCAGCTTTCTATATATCTATCTATCTATCTATCTGTCTGTCTGTCTATCTATCTAGAGCGCGACTAACTCAACAGGGCAGCGTAGGATGCCTTGCGCGTTGCCATTCCAATGCGTTTTACCACTGCCAAGCTGCATTCCATCTTAGAAATGCGCACCGCGCGCAAGCGCCACGCATTTTTTCCAAATTGGATGAAAGCCTTGCGCGTTGCCATTCCAATGTGTTTTACCACTGTCAAGCTACATTGCATCTTAAAAACGCGCACCGCGCGCAGGCGCCACGCATTTTTCCAAGTTAGATAAAAGCCTTGCGCGTTGCCATTCCAATGCGTTTTACCGCTGTCAAGCTACATTGCATCTTAAAAACGCGCACCGCGCGCAGGCCGCGTGCGATTTTTGAAAGTTGGAGCTTCCAAAAGTAGCCCGACCCTCTCAGGTTTTTACGATTTTGACTTCCAAATGTGCACCGCGCGCAGGCCGCGTGCGATTTTTGAAAGTTGGAGCTTCCAAAAGTAGCCCGAGCATGTAGTGTTTTTACGATTTTGACTTCCAAATGTGCACCGCGCGCAGGCCGCGTGCGATTTTTTGCCAGCAATTCCGACCAAAGGCTCCGCACCCGCCGCTTTACCGAAGTAACTTCTGGGCCGTCTGGAGGCTCAAAACATTGAAAAATACAGCATTTCGCGACCTTTCTAACATTTCGCACACCATGCTTCATCTTTCTTCATCGCTTCTTCATCTTTCTTCATCGCTTCTTCATCTCTTCTTCTCTCTCTCTCTCTCTATCTCTCGCTCTGCACTGCTCTGCTTGAGTTGTCGATATTGTCGGAAGTTAGACTTCTAAACTTCCTTCGATTATTGTCAGCCTAATTAATCATATTATTGTCACATAAGTTCAGGCTCACACGGCGCTGCGGTAACCCCTGGCAATTGAAAGATGAAATGCCCGGCCCAAAGTGCGTGCAAGCCATCGTTCCAAACTCCAGGTTGTACGAGGTTAAGGGACATCAAATCTGAAGTCCCCTTCTATTCGGTGCTTGCTTGCGCAACGCGTGTGCCAACGCGGCCAAATAGGCCTGTGATCACAAGTAGAAGCCAACATTGCATCCAAGAACCGTCCAAGAACAAGTGCATCACACAAAACGTACACACACACACACGGAGACACGGACGCACAGGCACAAACGCGCAAACACAGGCACAGGCACAAACACACGCACACGCGGGTCGGACCTATTTTGTTCACAGAGGCCTTGGCCATGTGCCCTTTGCAGAGAGCGATTTTGGTCAGCGATTTTTGCTCTGGGCTTTGGGAAAACCGGCGCCTTGCTCCGGCGACTTTCGAGAGTCCACCAGCTGCACCGGGCGCACCATGTCCTCGCCTAGTGCACGTGGGCGGGGCACTTTTGTGGGGCGGGAAGTCCTGTGGACGAAATCCTGCACAAAAGAAGCCCTGGAATGACCATTCTCCGGCAGATATCTGTAAATACCACGCAACAATGGTTTCCCATGGTGCCAAAGTGATGCGAACGGATTTCGCAACCATCCAGAGTATGACATTTTCTCTTGCATGAACAGCTATGGGGTTGCGATGATCTGTCACTTCGGTCATCCCATTTCTGTTTCGGCCATGGAACCACCCAACGTGTGAGCAAATCCAAACAAGCAAACAAACCACACCATTTCTTCCTATTATACATAGATACAAGTAGTCGTAGCTCATAAGGCTTACTTGCCTACGACTTGCCATCACTGTAAAAGGGGCAAATGGAGAACCTCCCATGTCTAGACCCAAGCTGGGAGTGACGTAGCCTCAGGCCCAAGCGCAGGGAGTAGAGGGTGAGGTTGTTCTCCAGCGCCTGTCGCGACTCGGGGACTGAATGCCCCCTTTTGCCGGCTAACATGTCATTCTGGCAGGTGTTGAGACCAAATCAAAATGTAGCAGCTAAGAACCTCAACCAAGGTCTGAGGCTTTTCTCATTGGAGTGAGGCAAGCTGGTGCCCGAACACATCTGAGTTGGTTAGGAACACTTCCCGCTTTGGAAGGGAATGGCGTGATCAGTAAGCATGCCCGCTGTCCAATACATACTGGCATCTGCAACTACTCAGCCCTTAACGACGAGTAGAACAGCGCATCCAGCTGCTCTACTTTAGAGGCTCAAACATACATGGTAGAGCCCAAAGCCATCCTTGAGCACTAGCGCTTTCAGCAAAGGCAAGCAGAGTCAGTGAAAGGATCCAATCAACGTTTTGCATGGGAAGCACGTACTCCTCAACCCGTCTAAGGCCTGCAAATTTAGATAGGGAGCCACACTGTTGCCAATAAACCGCGAAGGGCGGCGATGTCGAAGCTGTCGTAGAAGAAGACTGGGTGTAGCCTCCCAACGCCATGACTCCAACGCCCGTGGGCCCGCGGTGCGGAAGGATTGAAGAGGGAATCCAACAAGAGCAGCTCATTCCAGAGAATTCCGGAGATACAGAGATAAAGAGAATCATGGATGTGGACGAAGTAGTCATAAGGTCTTTTCCCATCACATCATGTCCCATCAGAATCTTACCTATGAAAACTCCAAGGGGATGAATTGATTCCGATGGAGGCAAATCATATGACAAAGACAAGATATGGATGCGAGCGAGCGAGACGATGGTGGAAAAAAAGAAAAGATGTGGCATTCTAATGCATCAGAATCTTTTAATCTGTATGTCGTGACGTCGTGTTACTTTCCTCCTAAGGTCTTTATTTCTATGTCTCTGTCTTTGCTATGATCTTATCCCTCATCCCGATCCTCTCCTCCATCCGTGTCCAAGATGATGAAGGCAAATGCACGGGTGGAGGAAGAGAAGGAAACAGAATGGCAGCTAGACAAATCATATGTCTTCTCTTTATTCCTCTTCATATTCCTTCTGTATCCATAGCTTGTTCGCTGACTTTCTCCTTCTCTCCCTTCGCAGCATGGCAGGCTTTCCGCAACAAGCACATGCTCCGCGCTTGACCTGCTCTGAGAGGCTGCGAGCTTGTACAAATCACGTACAACCATAAGATCACAGCAGCACTCAAAGCTGTGAGCCTTTTGGAGCGCGTGTTCTATTGGAGGCGTGCAAGGCCCGGCCTCTTCAAAGCAGGTTGGCAGCTGGTGCAGTACCGCCGGTAGTTGATCCTGGCTCGAAGCTTCGTCCCAGCTTGTGACCTGGTTTTGACAAAAGGCTCTTTCCGTTCTGATTACGCTAATGACCTCGCGACTGTCGGCCGCATTTCACCAAGGCCATGTCACTGTACCGGATAACCATATTCAAGTGTCACCTGCTGGCAAGCAACAATTCCGTTCGAAACCCTGCGGCCATTGCTTGCGCGGACATGAATACACGTTCTTGTCAATTCCCTGGAGCGTGCTGCACAAAGTGTTTTAAGTAATTAACCAGTTTTGCTTGTTTGCCTAGCGTCTGTTCAATCATGGGCGAAGGCAGTTGGACGCGGAGTCGACCTGGCCTGCTCAGTCATAAGGCAACAGCCAACAGCAGTAAAAGAAAAGAACGACCATGGCCACAACAACGACCACGACCACAACAACAACCACGACCACGACCACCACAACCACAACAACCACAACCACGACCACAACCATGACCACGACCACAACCACGACCCCGACCATGACCATGACCACCACAACCACCACAGCCACAACAACCACAACCACCACAACGACCACAACCACAACAACCCCCACAACCACCACAACAACGACGACGACGACGACGGCGACAACAACGACAACGACAATCACAACAAGAACAAGAACAAGAACAGGAACAAGAAAAATAACAAGAAAAAGCAAAATAGAAAAACATAACCACAACAACCACAACCACCACCAGAACCACAACAACCACAACAACCACAACCACCACAACCACCACAACCACCACAACCACCACAACCACCACAACCACCACAACCACCACAACCACCACAACAACCACAACAAGCACAACAAGCACAACAATCACAACAACCACAACAACCACACCAACCACAACAACCACCACAACCACAACAACCACAACAACCACACCAACCACCACAACCACAACAACCACAACAACCACAACCAGCAACCAACATCCAACAACCACAACAACCACAACAACAATCACAGAAACCAACACAACCACCACAACCACCACAACCACCACAACCACCACAACCACAACAACCACAACAACCACCACAACAACAACAACCACAACAACCACAACCACCACAACCACCACAACAACCACAACAACCACAACAACCACAACAACCAACACAACCACAACAACCACAACAACCACCACAACCACAACAACCACAACAACCACCACAACCACAACAACCACAACAACCACAACAACCACCACAACCACCACAACCACAACAACCACAACAACCACAACAACCACCACGACCACCACAACCACAACAACCACAACAACCGCAACAACCGCAACAACCGCAACAACAACCACAACAACAACCACAACAATCACACAACCACAACAACCACAACAACCACAACAACCGCAACAACCGCAACAACAACCACAACAACAACCACAACAACAACCACAACAACAACCACAACAACAACCACAACAACAACCACAACAACAACCACAGCAACAACCACAACAACCACCACAACAACCAACACCAACACCACCACCAACACCAACACCAACACCAACACCACCAACACCACCAACACCACCAACAACAACAACAACAAGAAGAAGAACAACAACAAGAAGAAGAAGAAGGAGAAAGAGAAGGAAGCACCCGCTGGGGGTCCCCGCGTGTTCTTTTCAGGCTCCGCGCCCACATTGAAGGACTCTAGGACCACGGGTATGTTCAGTCCCCTGCAAAGCAGGAAGTTCAACCCCACCAATGGAACTTTCGCAACAAGAACGCGCTTCCAATTTTGAACCCCAAGCAACTGTCCTCTTTCCGGCACTGGCGTTGAGCTGGGGATCAACTTGAGCCTTAGCATCGGAGCCGGGGGACCTTTTATTTGCCCTCCTTGGGCTTGGTCGCCTGTAGGCCACGCTTTAGCTGCTTGCAGAGTCCACAGCTCCATCGCAAGCGAGATCGCCCATAGGTATTTGATTCCGCTCAGCTCACCTATTCTAATTGAACGCGCACGGCTTTCCTCCAGGGTTAGTCTTCCACGAGGAAAGTGGAACCCCTAGCTGCTCCTCACTTTGGCCTCCAATTTGGCCTTGCCCGAGTTGCCCGACTATTCAACAAGAGTGGGACGCATCTTATATATGGGCTGGCAATCACCCTGTTGGTGTTCATACGATGGAATCCTACTGGCCCCGGCTCACTCATTCCGACCCTTGCGTGTTGCGGGAAAAAAAAACAAAAAAACAAGCCAGCCTACGCATGCATGCAACAATATCCTATGCTTCAGCACCGTTTGTCAAACAATTGCGCCCAAGCGCTTGCGAAGCTACCAATCAATTCACCATCGACTACATGCCTGTCCGACAAAGGTTAGACTTTTTGCAACCCGGAAACTAAAAAAGGGAAGTGCTTTGGATTTAGTTGGGTTACAGCCCCCTTTTTGGACAAACGCCCAACCAGTGACAAACCTGCCTATGCAAGCTGCCGCATTCGTGGTGGAGCTCCAACTCGCAGTCGCCTCCGTGAGCAAAGCCACTCAGGGGCCACGTCAAAGCGGAGCGGTTTCTCTAAAATCCTTGACCACATGCTGGACATCTTGGTTGGTGGAGGAGTGGAAAGGAAAAGGACGTAGGCCGGCAAGCCTCTATTCACTCACTAACCCGCCATCCGGCTCCTTCGGTAGAGAGAAGATAGTGAATGAAGGTAACGAATGAACGCCAGGAAAGGCCTTCCAGCGGCTCCCAACACTCTATTTCCTCTCTCCATCCCATCTTTTCCTGTTTTCTTTTTAAGTCGTAATAACGTGAATGATAAATCCAGGAAGTGATAAAGATGGAACCCTTGGCAGCATGTAGGATTACACGGACACAGGTCCCTCTATCACCTCCCTAACAGCCATGAAGGATACAGGTGCTTCCTAAAGAGACAGGAAATGGGTTCCCACTCACCTCTCGTTCGTTCCACATTAATATCTTTCCTTTCCTCTATTCTTGGCTTTTGAAGGTGACAAAGATCCAGAGGTAAAAGCCAAGGGAAGGAACAGGTGCCCATAGGTTTAGGATGGTTCAGGCTGCAAAATAAATGGGCATCTTCTGCATCTTCGGCAAATTCCCCGGGGGGGCAAGTGACATTCTAGGCGCAACCCATGGCAATGCCATCAGGAGGCAAGCCCGAGAAAAAGGGCTGTGATTGAATCCAAGCCCAAGCTGACCCCTCAAAGCGCACCTCAGCTGCTTTGACAATACCAAACCCTCGATCCTATGCTTTCCCAGTCCCATCTGAATGCAACTAAAACTGGCTTGCAAAAGCAACAGACTTGCAAAATACGGTAATATCCCGCGTGATTGAACTGAGTCAGCATCTGCATCAGCAGAAGGCGATGCTTGCTATTCTGACACGGTCTGACAATGCCAATGACACCTTGTGTCCCTTGTCAAGTCGAGCGGCATCGCAAGTTCTGGCCATCGAAAGTCAACTTGGTGCTTCCGCTCGCGGGCACGCTCACCTGCGCCATTACAAAAAGGCTGACAGTTGAGGAGTCTGCAGGGTCAGAATCGTGATTCTGCACAATTTACATGATCCAAACTGGAGAACGATCCGTGACTGGATTTGGCTCGATTTTTCGGGTTGAGTCAGACCATCAGCAAAGGGTTTGTACTTCTTTGGCTGCGTCCATGGGTAACCCATAGCAGGCATTATTCTGCCCCAAAGTGGACCCAGCAAAGTGGTGAATTCTCAGGCAGTGCTGTTGGCGTTTGCTCAAAGACCTGCGACTCAGCAAGTGGTCCCATTGCAAAATACCCCGGTTCTCCGCTCTTCGAATCCGCCCGCCTCTTCAATCTCAAAGTTATCCACTCGTAAGAACCTGCCGCAGGGGACCATCGTCCGAGAACTGGGCTCCTTGGGGTCGCAGGTCGCTCAATTCAAAGATTTTGCGTCTCTGAGCAACAGGCAGTTGCCAGGGACCACTTGGCTCTGCTGAACAGCTTTTGCTTTGTACCAGCAGTGCCGTCACTCGAACAAAATGAACATGCACAAGAAACAAGGCGATCCAACATGAATGCGAGGGCGTGGGAACGGAGACCGACTTGGACATCCAAATGGCTGTGCCGCGCGCTTTCTCTGACATCCACTTTATAGTTCTCCTTGTTGGACTCAACAATGATCCTTGCCTAGAAGACTCGCGGGGACAAGGGGTGCTTTCAGGCCTGACTTGCAAATAAACAGTCAGGAAGGTATTCGAAGCAGTACGCAAGAGCATGTGGCAAACCATCTAAACCATCAGCCTAAGCCCACAAAAGCGGCCACTCGCAATCTTGCACACGGCACGCCTCACAGATGCTCCAGGCGATTGGAGTATCAAGGTGGTCTGGGTGATCACCTGGCTGAACTTGGCTGGAGCCATCCCAAACGATTCTGTTTCTGCTGTCAAGGGCAACACAAAGCCAAATGCGTATTCAGGTTGCACCCAAACGAACACCACTGTCCCTGAGATGGCCCACGATTAGCTGTTAATATAAAAAAGGTACCTCCACACAACGAAATTGTAGAAGACAGGACAACACAGGATAACGAGATCACAGTGGACCGCGTGTTTCCAAGGACATGCAATTGCGATCAGGGTTTGAGAAGACACCTTCGGCCAAAGCTGGAGAAAGAAGGTTGCGAGTAGATTGGCGAAAGCCTCAGCTTCGGGGACCGGGAATCACTGGCATCCATAGTTGATTCGCCGTTTTCCGCTTCTCTATCGGACCTGGCAGCGAGGTTCAGTCATCATCTCTTGGGGGAGCTGAAGTCTTTTCTGAAAAAGTGCTGCCCACATGTGCAGTGTAGTTGTCCTTAAGATTGCAGGTCTTATTGACTCTGGGTCAGTCTGTTTTCACACGCAAAGGCTTGAACATGTTTTTCTTTGCTCATGCCGGGGGATCATCTCTTGTAACAGCCTGCTGCAAACGTTTGCAACTGAAGCATGCCATGAAAAGAAGGCGCCATCTCAAAATTCACCCTTCTTCAATAGGAACAGCTAGACTATTCTAGCACAATCTTTGCTGAGAAGTAGCCCAGCCTCTCGGTACTGCTCTTCGTATCTTGTCGGCTGGAGTCCGCTCAGCGCTCAGCCCCTGCCTTGACAGCCCCAGTGCAGTTCTGCAACACGTTGAGAATGTTCTGTGGGAGGATCTCCTTCTGGCTCTGCGGGGCCTTGACTGTTGAAGGGCCGCTTGCTGCGGATAGCAAATCTGAGAGGGGCGGTGCCAAGCTGCCCTTGCAGGCAAGGACGGCTCATTCCCCCAAACAGATCTTGCAGCTCTGAAACAGACTGCAGTTTGCAAGCACTAACCGACGTACGAGGAATAGGCATGTGACAATGTGTGCATGATTGTGCATGCATGATACATAATAGACTTGTTTATACATGTATGGTAGTACATCTAATGCTTGTGCTCATGTAACATGCATGTCTATCTCATTCTCCGGCCAAACACATCCGACCAGGATCATTTAGACTGCCTGTGCTGTCTCACACTTTAGGCTAGACTTCTGACATTTGACTATTGCTGGTGTTAACAATCGTCAAGCAGGAGGTTCAGGATTGCTCAAAAATTCCATTGGAGCATTCTCAACACTGCAATTGGCAATATGCGTTCTGCCGGGCTGCAAGACTATATTTCGAGCATCTCCCACCGGGAAATGAGACCGATTTCTCAAAACCTCTCAAATCTTGAAGGTTGCCCCTGGAAGGGACAGCTTGCCGCCAGCCCACTAGATCCAATCCCAAACGTATCTGGCGAGGATGCATAACAGGCGCCCAGCCGAGGCGGTCCACTTCCCGACCGCGGCTGAGGAACTCGAGTGTAACAATGTTGCACGCGCGGAACACCTCCGGAATTCCATGGATAAGCTGGACCTCTGGCATTTGCCGAGCGCAACTTGTGATGCTTTAAGTGCCGATACAGCGTCTGCCGCCCGCGCCAAAAGGTACGAGCGACCTGGGCCATCCGGCGGCCCCCACGAAGGGGTCATCATTGCAGTAGGGCGGTGCCTCTGGCTGGATGCTGGCCTTGGCAAAGGGGGCGTTTGCACCTTGGTTTCGCAGCATAACTGAAACTGACAAGATTGGCAGCGAGTAAAAATGGTTAGAAGGAGAGGGTGCAGGCCGTGAAGTAGCAAGGCAAAAGAGTGCTGACAAAGTCAGCAGCTGCGACAATAGTATCTGCTGTGTGGCTCAAGTCGCCGTTGGCGAAACCATGTTTGACTGATTGTTTGCATTTGCTTGCTGTCTCTCTCTCTCTCTCTCGCTCTCTCTCTTTTTCTCTGTCTCTCCTCTGTCTCTCGTCCTCGTCGGGGGCATCCTCTGCAAGGGGACATGCGGGTCGTGAAATAGCCAACGCGTTGGGCAAGGGTCTGCAATCGTTACTTTGCCTTGAGGTCTGTATGGGAATGAACTACACCTCTCTACCAGAGTGATACCCATGTCAAATGTCAAGGCCATTCCATGCCGCAGTTGCTGCTGCATCCAGATGCAACTGCTCAACCCAAAGTCGCCTGTGCTGAGGCGCCACGCAACCATGTAGCTGGCACCCCGAGGGCATCTGCCAGACTCACCGAGGATGCAGCTGCACCTCAGCGACAGTGGGCCAGCGATTGAATGCCGAAGCATCGGCCCTACGGCTGGATGGAAGGGTCTGCGAGTTGCATCCCCGAACCTTGCCAAGGCCGAGTGTCGGAGGGTCACGCAAAACATTGGTCAAAGGGCGACTCGACGGGGCACTTCAAAGTTCTGGAATTGTGGATCAAGAAAGGACTGAGAGAAGAGTATGAGAGCTTGAGAATTCGGAAAAGGCACACCATTGCTCGGTGAACATTTATGGGTGCACTTCCAAGCACCAGGGCGGTGGTCAAATTGTCAAACGTATCGTCAAGCGATCTGCCAGGAAAAAACAGGACACCTGGGCTGCTGCCCATGGGGAGATACGAAAGTAAAGTCTGAGTCGCAGAGTTCAGCACGATTCGGCACAACTTGTTCAATGAGGTCAGTTTATTGTTTCAGCGCATGTTCACCGCCAAATGCCCCGAGCGACCCCTCTTCGTTGGCGTCCGGACTCAGAATGCTTCTGGGACATCTGCAGCTCGTCCATGAAGATCCGGGCCTCGGTGCACGACCGCGGAACTCGGACCTCTGCCAAATGCACCGGGCGATGCCTAGTTTTGGGCAAAGGGTCTTTTCGACCGAGCAAGCCATTCGCAAATTTCGCTGAAGCCGTACAAACAACATCAATTCCAGCGCTCTCGCATTCACATGAAGCAGTAACTGCTGAGCGAGCGGCGCGATTGAGCGGCACATTTTCTCTCTCCCCGAGAACTCCCCGAGGCATTGCAACCCGCAATGCGCAGCATACTGCAAACCACATCGGCTGACAAGGTCTGCCACCCTCTTCCTGCCCAAAGCCGACAAGTCTTCCTGTCAGGGAACATAATTGTTGTATCGCCCACAGTCAAATTTACTACTTGCATTGAGAAACACAATGGTGCATCTGTGCAATACATCTGAATCTGAGCTTCAGACACGAAGCCTAAAACTGCGCAACTAGTGTCTTGCGTGATCAGCGTTCGACAGGCTGTTGCCATTTGGCACAGCCAGGCACTGCCAGCTCCCCATGCTGGCAAATTGTGTCTTGTCGCCTCACAAGCCTTTGCCTTGGTCACCTGCCAAGGAACGCCGGTCAGCCATCGGGTGGTTTTAAGATGCAAACCACACCACTTATAGGCTGCTGCAAATGCTTGCCGATTCACATGAGATATCCAAGCAACATGATAGCTTGTGGATGTTCCTTTCACGAGTTTGGTGGAGTATTTCCAATGGTGAATGATTTTGTCGCATGTTCTACTCGCAGAAAGCTGCGCTTTGCAAAGGTCTCTTCAAAGCTGTAGACAATACCACTGATGCGGTTCCAAGAACTTTTCAAATGCCCTAACGGCCCTTCCATGCAGAAGCTGCTTGCGAGGCCATCTATGAAGGCACTCACGCGTCGCCTTGATCGTCGCCCGGCTCCTGTGCAAATTTCCCCCCGCGTCAAGGAAGCGCTGTACTCCAAGAAAACGCCATTTGGATGGCTCGCAGCCACTGTTCTGACAGATTTAACAGACGGCTCGTACAGCTGAATACGTGAACCCCTACGGAGAACTACGGATTCCCCACATTCGCCGAAATTCCTCTCTTTCCACAAGAACCGACATGGATCATCCCAACGAGAGGTCAACCTCGAATCCCAAAGGCTTCTCCTTGCCACGCGCTCGGCCAGCCTAGCCCTGAAGGGCGGATCATATGTTGTGTTCCCCCTACATTGGATGCATTGCTGTGAAGGAGATGATAGCAGGTTCTGGCCATGCAAAGAATCAGAAGGGCCATTCATGGTTGGGACCGTCACCATCTGGAACCCACGAAAAACGTCCATGCTTTTAGTGCCCACGCTGCAGCCGAAACATTTCGGCGCCTGCGCCCTGGGGAAGAAGGCAGAGAGGCTCCGGGTGACCTACGGAGAAGCGGTTGAAGCACTGGAAATGCGCGGAACAGCCAGGGACTAGCAAATGAGGCAAATGAAAAGCGGGCATTGCTCGAAATCGTGTTCCACTTGGCCAAGAACTGTAGGCCCTAAACGGGATTCCGAATAAGGCTGAACAAAGCTGAGATCACAAATCCCAGGGGGACCAGTTAGACGTGCTGCCAATTTGGTCGCCCTTGAACTGATTGAATGATCCCATCATGGAACCCCGGCAGTTGATCTCTCAAACTGGGGCAATGAGGTGATGGCCACCTCGCTGATTGCATCGTGTTACTTACGCCGTTGGTATGTGTGGAGAGCACATCCAAGCAGCACACTGTTCCCACATGTGTACACTCCAAAACTCATAAAGACACCTACTCCCCCGAGCCCCAAACCGGAACGATGCATCTAGCTCTTGACTCTTCGCCATACCTTGTAAGGGGAACTCACAGCCGTCCGAAACACCTACTGCGAGAACTGTTGCTGGGGCCGTTCGTTCCCGGCATTCAAAAGTATCGTTGTCCACGCAGACCAACATCAACCAGCAGAAGATTCCGGCTACCAATGAATCCAAGGGAATTGTTCCGAATGGCTGAATGCGCAGAGCAATTCAGATCTGGTGCTACTTACACCACAATCCAAGGGAACGAAAGTCTTCGCCAGAACCACTTCGCGGATTGCCTTCTTGGGCCGATCCTCGGCCTGGCAAGCATGCAGACACACCCTCCTGGTCTGCTAGCCTTCTCTTCCCCGACTGATTGCTCAGCTTCAAGCCAAGAGAGATTTCCAAAGTGCAGAGATTCTTGGGAGGCGGGGGTTGATCGGCCCCCAAATGACTATGGGTAACTATTATCATTTAGTGGGGAAAGTCATCGGTTTTGGTGGCTTGGCTAATGGTCACCCCGCGTAAAGGAACTTTTGACCAACTGCCAGGTGACTAGTAGAGCTTCACGAAAAGGCGAAAGGTTGGCCACATGACGTCAACCCACAAGCCAGGACCCTGGTCAAGCTGCTGGGATTGCGATGCGCCCCCAAACAGACTTTGGCCCATGCCCAGCCACCTCCTCAGCATCTTGGTCTTTGGACCTCTTCTTCCCTCCTACAGCGACATTGCCCGATTGCAGCAAAAAAGAAAACGCTGAATGCAGGCACCATGACTAGCATCGTTGACAACTTGCAGCCCAAAGCGGGCTCTGGCAAACGGGATCTCTTGAATCGTCCAACGTCACTCGGGTCCATGTATCATTCATGACACACACTGAAGTTGGTTGCGTAGCACCAAACACCAGAAATCGCGCGCTTCGTGCAGCTCACACAAAGATGATGCGTCTTCATTCATGATGCTCGATGTGCCGTGGCGAGTTTTGCAGGGCGGCGCATGTCTGGTTTTCTTCATCTGCTGGAGGCAGGGCAGTTTGGCTGGACCGTGTTTTGCCAAACAAATGGGTTCAAGCCAGACTCATGTGGCTGGGTCGCACTGGGCTCTGGCTTCTGGTGAGACCCACAACTTGCCCTAGGGGGTGTTGGCACTGCCGGGCTTGGACATTTGAGTGCTGCTTTGCACTAAATCGATACTGGTGAGCAAGCTGAACTGGCAGGTGTCCCCTGGCAGTTCCGAGAAACGGGCCAAAGCCTGGCAGGGCCACGATTGTGTGCATCTCAAGGCCGCGCTGTTGCAAGTGCCTAATCCGATCGGCAAAACAGCACCTTGAATCAAGTTTTACTTGAGCGCAGCCGAAGAATGCGCTTGCACCAAGACAGTCGCGCAACTGAGGCAGGGCGCAAGGTGCCTTGCAAAGCAGCCGCCAACACGTGCGTCCTTTGTGCCCACGAGGTGCAGCCTTGCACTCCGGAAGCTCAGCCTCGCGCGGAGCGGAAGCAGCCTCGGGCGATCAAGGTTGGCCCGTTCTCGCCGCATCTATCATAGTATCTCTGCTATATATGCATAATAGTATATATTTATGCGCAGCATGGTTGGGAACCAAATGCCATCTTAGATTGCAAACCTTACACACTCGCATGATCACCTGACCATTGTAAATCAGGTCCCCCTTCCAGCAAACACAAGTATTAGATGTGGCGGGCGTCCATGCGTCCACAAGTTGGCTGGGCATGAACGGCTCATGTCAGAAACTAGCCAGTTGCTGGCAAGCATGCCTTGCTAGCAGGCAAGAAGCTGGTAGGCTCTCTGGAATCGTGGGCTCCTGGCAAATGGAGAACCCCGCAAGTTCGATCACAATCTTGTGCGGGGCTGACTGGCCTCTGAGTCCCTGCCAAGCAGTCAATCAATTTTGCAGAGCCCAACCCCAACCAGGCGCTGGCGTTTTAACTTGCATCTCTCAACAAAATCATGTTGGCCTCAGTATGTTGATCATGATCAACAAGAGCCAAAACTTGCTAACTGCTGACCAACACCTATGAAGAAACCTGACATCTATCAGCAGCAGCTGGAGCTGAGAATCAGTAGTATCTCAATTATAACTGTAGGACTGGCCAAACCATCAGAAAACTCCAGCATCCGCCAACACCCACCACCTCATCATCATCATGATCACACATCCCACCACCCTTCCCCTACACAATGAAAAGCGATTGCGACATGGGGTCCTCTAAAGAATCAGCGCCCGGCGCCTGAGAAGCTATCTGGGGTGCAGGGTTGCCGACTGCAGGGGATTGTTCAACTTCGATTTTTTGTTCGCAGACTGGAATCCAGGAATGGAACATGTTTGGACAACTTTGCAAATCAGATGAAAAAATATATCATGCCGAAGCAGTTGCACAAACGTTGGCTTCAATGATCAACGCCGGCAGAGCAATGTGCAGGGAATCAAGTTGATGCAGGACCCTTTAATGCCACAAGAAATGGATGTCAAGTCAAGGCCGATCAACGGGTTCACCGTACATCGCGAGTTCAAACTTGGTCCAACACGATGCCCCTTGAGGACACGGTGGCACAGGGGGCAGAAAGGAACGAAAGGAACGACTAAGCCAATGATAAGGAATACCATGCAAACGAACAATCTGCTCGGCTATACTAGTACAGCAAAATGCAAAAAGCTTTGACTGCATCAATTATCACAAGGGGTTAAAGGTGCATAGATCTGCAACAGTGCCCTGTGGAACATGTTTGTGTTCCAGCACAAATGCTACCTCTGGTGCAACTGTCATATATGCCGCTTTGGTGCTCAACATACCAGGTAGTCAGGTAGTCAGGTGCTCAACGTGGGACTGTTCAAATTACCTGTCCTGACTGCTTTGAGTGTCGGCATTTGGCCCCATGCTGGCTACTTGCGCGGGCCACAAATGTTTGATCAAAAAAGTCAGTGATTGGCCCTTCCATCTCCTTGTCGTGTCCTGGCAGGAGTGAATCGTCTCTTTGTTGCAACCAGTTCACTTGCCAAACATGAGCGCACTATTCAATTCATTGGTACCCACAATTAATCAGCCCTCTCACGGACGTGCACATTTCCCTCACTGAGGCCGCAAGACCATCCAAGTGGTGATCTGTTGCTTGACAAGTCTGCCAGTGTGCTTGCTGTTCGGCTTGACATAGAACGCCCTCCGCTGCGATTTGCAAATCCTGGGCAGTGTCCTCATGTTTGGTG